TCTCTCTCTCTCTCTCTCTCTCTCTCTCTCTCTCTCTCTCTCTCTCTCTCTCACCCACCCTCATTTATCACCCATCCAACTGTGCGCCTTTATAACCAGTACCACACAATATTTCCCTACCTTCACAATGGTCTGTGCTACCTACAGCACGTCTCTCAACGTTTTGTGCTTGCTGGAAGACATAGATATGTGTCTGATTTCTCACAATATTGATTCTATCTCTGTCGAAACCGGTCAAGGAGCCCTATCGACTAGTTTGTGAAGTGTTCTTGCTTCGTTTCATTCAATTTGCATGCAAATTTGTTCACTGTGACTTTCTCAAAAAGGTCTGGCCATCATGAAGGCTGCACATATCCAGGAAAGCCCTGGTGTGAGATTAGTTTTTGATGTCAATATCTTATGCAATTTGTCTTCTCATCTCTCAAGACCATTCTTAGTGCTTCTGCACACCACTGCTTTCAATCATCAATGTACAATTTTATCACTAAATAGCAAATCATTTTATTTGTCCACAACAACAACAACAAAAAAAACTTTATTTGTTCGTATTTGCATTTAATCAACTTTAATGCGTACTTCTCTCTCTGATCCTCTACATCGCTTCACTTATCCATAAAAGGGGGTAAGCCCCTACCATTTTGTAAAATTTGTATGTATCTAATAATTTCTAATTCCATCAGGACTTGAACTCATGATCTGTTTATTAGCAGTCACATTTTAATGTGTACCATTGAGCCACAGGGGCTGGGCAGTGGAATCGATTTCACATCCCTTATCCTCGCACCTTGCACACGACACCGTGCTTAACTTTATCTGCATGTGACAAAAAGAGGATCGTTGGAGCCTGACACACAAAGTCTAGACCTGCTTACATGGCCTACGTAGACTTTTGTGTGTTAGGCTCCGGCCATCGACTATGTTGGTAGAGATCCCGTTCCTCAGGACTTTCAGCTCTAAGCATCCACAAATTTAGGAGAGGTGAAAGTCCAGGGGGAAGCGGGCGAGGAGGGGCCACATTTACTAGAGAAATATTTTTCTGGTACACAAAAATATATTTTTCTGGCACACACTAGAGAGCAACATTCAGGTCTCAGGAGGTTCTGTTTGCTTTTCCAATTTAAGTTTCTGGTGCTCTCTGCACAGAATACCCTGAAAGTATTCACTGCAATAAGCTTGCTAGAAATTTACTAGAAAACTAACTAGAAACTACTAGAAAGTTACTAGAAAGTTACTAGAAAGTTACTAGAAAGTTACTAGATACTTGCTAGAAACTTACTAGAAAAGAAACTTGGAGTAGTGTATGTTCTCATCCTACCAGGACTACCCAGTTTGTACTCCAGCAACATAGTCGATGGCAGGAGCCTAAGTAAGTATGTTTTACGTACTCGTTACAGAACGACGTACTAGAGTGAGACAACTGGATGGAAACGTACAAGAAATTTAGAAAGTAATATTAGAAACTAATAGAGAGTTCAGGGAAGAAAGAAGGAAAGAAAGTTTAAAAACTTTAGAAACTATTCAAACACCAATGGGCATAGCTCTTTTTTTTTTTTTTTTTTTT